AATATACAACTGTAATAAATATTACCAAATCATAAATCAACAGAGGGTCTTTTGTAAAAATAGAAAAGACCCCTTTTGGCATGACATCACGGTGAAAGAATCCAGCTTTAATATTAATTATATTAATTACTGTATTATAAAGTAAACGAATTACAATTTCAACGTAAACTGACCGATGAGTGTTTTTGACAAAAAGCGCGTGCACTATTTATGTTCGAAAAGTTATAAGCACGACGAGACGTGAAAGAACAGATGTTTATGGAAAGGGGAGAGAAAATATACTTGCTATACTTATCGCGGCATATCTCTGATAAATTCAATTCATAAAATATAATTAAAACCAAATCCGCCAAATCAGCGGCGCCGGCTATACAATATATTATAGGCATTAATACCTGAACAATAAGCGACTGTAAACATTGTGATTTAGACCTAAATGCTTTCTGCCAATCGTACAGCTTTAGCTAAGTTAGTTTTATAGGCCTAGGCTTGTTTACTTGGAGAAATAAACGCTTTTGACGAGCTCTTTGGTTATTTATAGAACTACATGACTCGACGTTGATTACATAACATACGGATATTCGGGTCAAATAGGGGTTACGAAAAAATTCGTCAAAAATTCAATTTTAAGTTGCCCCAAAATTTTATTTGATCAATAGCAAGCGAAAACATATTTCTTTTATCTGTGTATGAATATTTTGACTGAATCGATGTAACAATGGAGATATTCGCTGCCTAATATGGCATATAATAAAGAGGTTCAAAAATAAAAAACATTAAGAAAATCTGTAAAATATTCACTTTTAACAGAAATGTCTCTACATTTCGTCTGCTACTCAATAAAGAACTCTAATTTATAAAACGAAATAATATTTTGTGAAATATTCCCATTATCGTGCAAAATAGAGCGATTTTGGTAGTGCCGTAAAATGACCTCTAAAAACCGAAAGTGGCCTGGGAAAACAAATTTCGACGTCTCTCTCCTTCAATATTTATCCAATCGAAATAAAACTTTCACAACATTAATACTTCATATAGGCCTACATTCTGACAAAGTTTGAAAGATTTTGAATTTTTTCATTTTACACGTCTTACCTGACTATTACAGACAACCGCTCTTAAATAGTGACTAATTTATAATTGCATATACATAAAATGTCAAAATAAAGTTTCCATTGTATTACAGTACTGTATTGACGGCTGGGTAGAATGTATTATTATAGTGTTTTAAAACAGTAGCCTACTATATTGACGGCTGGGTAGAATGTATTATTATTATATTACAGTATCGGTATTGACGGCTGGGTGGAATGAGGTTTTGGCGTTGTTCCCATTGATTTCATCTGTTTGCACGATTTAATTCTTGTATGGCGACATTCTGTATTTATGAACAATTTGCCGACTTTTCCGAGAAATTACATTATTAGCTCTTCGTGTTTATCCCGTTAACGTTTCTCGTTCAATAAAGGTCAGTAATCAACTTATCGGCGGTGAAAGAGAAACAAAAACTGAATATTAGTGATTTAGCGAGTACCTTAATTCAATGCTTCTGATAAAAACGGCTAGATATATTTTGGAAAAAATTAAAAATGAGCAACACGACGAAACCTACGACGTAACATCTTTCATGGCAAATCCAGCAGCCCAGATACTGAAAAATTTGGCAAATTAGTATCACCGGAGTTTTTGACAGCATCTTAAACAGTTTCTCCACAACATTGGCATCAAAATTTTATGAAAAGTTTCTATTGCTTTTTCTCCTTCGCTCGGAAAAGCATCAGCGTGACATCACTGAGTACATGTTAGTAACATGTACTCAGTTACGTTGTTAGAAGAATTTCAAAGTCAATATTTTGTGTAAAATTGTTTACTATATTATCTTCTACTTACATTGTGCATGTATTATAAAACAAATAGAAAACTCGTCTCGTGCTTATATTATGGTGTGATGCATGCACTCGGGTAATATTAGGCGCATACTCGAGAAGCGTATAAAACACTCCGCTACGCCTCGTGTTTTTATTCTCCCAACATTCTAATTATTTTTGTTATTGTCAAAACGAACCTGTGGCCAAACGTTCGGAAGCAATATGTATTTCAAAGGTTTGATAAAACGATTGCTCGTCGTGTAAGAAGTTAAATCTGCATGTGCACATGAGTGAAGGTCAAAGGCGGAGTTGGCATGCGGATTGAGTGGAGAATGTCATAGGAACGCAAATTTCGAGACTTTATTACCCCAAATAGCTTAAACCTGGCCACAATCCAACACCAGCACCATTCTTGACATTATCTCCCTAAACAATGCCGCAATCAACCCGCCGTATGGAATTGATAGCATGCGGAATGGAACGTCATTCCATTCCATTTGACATCAGTTGCTTTCTCGACTTTTGTTAACACGAACAATGGAAAAACTGGTTGTGCGTCAGAAACGGGATTATGCAGTGATTTGGAAGATCTTTGACACCAACTATTGGCATGGTCAGAGGATAATATTATTGTTATTAATTAGCGCTTACAGTGTTGTCTTGACGGCTGGGTGGAATGAGATTTTGCCGTTGTCCCCGTCGCTTTTCATCACGATATTGTGTATCTGTTATAATTGTAGGATTTAATTCTTTTATAGCAACATTCTGTTTTTATATATGAACACTGTTCTCATTTTCTCACGAGTAATTACATTATTAGCGCTTCATGTTTATCCGGTTACCGTTTCTCGTACAACATTCAGTCATCAACTTATTTACGGTGATAATCTGTACCGGTTCTTTTCCTTTCCTTCTACTAATAGACTTGTGACATTGATGCTTATTACAGTATATATATATATATATATATATATATATATATATATATATATATATATATATATATATATATATATATATATATATATATATATATATATATATATATAGTCCTGTGCTAAGTGTCGTGTCGTTACAGAAATTTCGTCCTCAGTATCACGCTGACGACTGTCAACAAGTTTGAATCGCATATTCAGAACGTAATCATATGAACCCGCTTGCCAGCAAGGATAAAATTTGTTCTATGTTCAGTCAAAAGCATGTTTGTATCCCACAACAGCGATTCAAAAATTTACTGGAAAATTACGTCTTCGAAATATTTTTTCTTGTGACTAACTGATCATGCTGCGCTAGTATTCTTATATTTTGAATTATGTAATTATTAAATTATTCAAACCTATATAGAAATCCATCATCTTCAAACTAATTTGCCACAGGTATATTAGCATACCATAACGTCCATGACCAGTTGCCATGGTTACCTTTCCCTGGACGGCGGGGGATGTTTCGAGACTTTCAAAAGTAGAGAAGCACCCCATGCAACTGCATGGATCACTCTATTCTGCACGACAAACCATTCGATAGTTGTTCTATAAACTAACTACAGCGAAATAATAGACAATTTAATTTAACTTCTGCAGTTATTGAAAATATATATATGTTCACTGTTTTGGCGAACTTGCCGCTCGTTTTGTTTCGAACTATTGTTAAATTTCACACATTTAAAATGTTTTCATTGTCCGACATTTTGAAAACCCCGCGGAAGGCATTTACATTTTCCGTGTAGGATTGTTTCATCCTGTACGGGTATTGGCAAATCAGATTGAGTATTTCACGGTATAGTATTATTGTATAATAGCGCTTTTTTTCTGGATATCCCATTCAATTCAATTATCTGAGCTCAAACTATCTCGTGGGATGAGAAGTGTTCATACAGAAAATTTTATCGCACTTATTTAAAATACCACTTAGCAGCACAACGTGAGATCTCGCCTCGCCGGGTTGGCAGGTTTCCCCTATGAAAACAAATTGTATTTTATATGCATTGACATTAAGATGGGTCTCACGCAGGAGAGTTTCTTGCTTTTCTGGGCTCGCATAAACAAGTCTTTAGTTGAACCTTTGAGTCTGGAACATTTATATTCGTTACTGCCTCAATTTGCTCATGTGTATACATGTACGCCATCGGATCATCTTACGCAGTGCATGTCGTCGAAGTTAATTCCTCCGTTTTTAATTCAAGAATATGAGCTGCTAAAATAATTTCGGATTTATTTAAATTAACAAGAAGTGAATATTATTTATGTGTCATGAAAAGGAATCGAAAACCAATGTGAAGGTGTATAGCCTAATTTCACGATCAGTTGTGTTTAAGTCAGGTAGTTAATAGAATACACGCAAGTAGTTAATAGAATACACGCAAGAAAACTCTGAGTTATATGTCCGTTAATGAAAAGGGAAATTAACACTAATTGCTGTAACATCAGAAGTTAGTTTGCATGTGAAGTCGAAGATGACAAAACATGCTTTAATTCGTGCATTTTTGCCCCTCCAGTAAATTGTTTAAAAACTTTTTTCAAGAAATGCAGAGACTCAATGCCTATATATATACACTAAGAAATACATCAATATATATATATATATATATATATATATATATATATATATATATATATATATATATATATATATATATATATATATATATATATGCTTTTAATTACAATGTCAATTTTAGTGTTTACAATTAAATTTTGCCTTTGAGTTCATCCCGTAATTCATGCACAGATCAGCTATAGCTCTGTAATGACAGCGTCAAGTGTTCTGTCGACTTTTCCAGCTGACAACATATATACTGATACTGTGTAACTAAATGAAATATTCATTAAATTGCATGCATATGAGTTTATTTCAAGAGTCTGTTTATTTAACAAAATAAGAATCGTGCGTCATCCTGTATGGTGGATAATTCTGTTTACATGTAAATCCCCATACGAAATTTCCTTCAATCATGAGTGTACGACAATACATTGACAATTTGTTTCCTTGGCATGGAGCCATGTTCCAAAGCTAGTCATGATAAGTTTCGGACAAACAAAATTTGTGCGTTTGTACGGATGCCGAGCAAATAATTTCAGGGCTATTTGACGCAACAACAACGCGAAACTGTATTTTTTCTCAGTCATCTAATCTTTATATTTCAGACAAGCAAAGCACTGTAGTAAATATTCCGTTCTCATCAATGTATGTTCCGTCATATGTTTCGTTAATATGTTCCACTGCACCGGACAGCTCAATTGGTTCGCACCATTTACAACGCACGGAATTAAACGGTGTTCGTTTTGATGAAAAATATCTTGGTAGAGTCTTTGATCGTTGCTCTTCGTCAAGACGTCGTGGATCCGATGAGTCGAGTTGAATGGAACGTCCTCTATCATCCGTTCGTTTTCGGCGTTTTGCAATTTCAGCGTTTTCCACTGGTCCCAAATATTTCTTAAGTTCTGCTTTAGAAGACCTGAATGCATGCGATCTTTCGCCAATTTCTGACAAATCTGACGTTTCTATGTGTACTTTTTGTTTGTTTTTGGTTGCGCTGTTCTTTCTCAAAAGTCTTGTTCTTAAACGATCCAGTAAACTTTCTTGAGGACGATTTTCCTGCTTGTGCCTTTGCAGCATTTTTCTTTCAGCCGGTTGTTTTAGTGTGTTCTGATGTAAGCTGGGATGTTATTATGCTGACGAGTTTAAAATGCTCACGCCTGAGCAAATTAGTGGAATAATTTTACCTTTTGGCTTTCTTATATGTTTCCTCTCATCCGCGCTTCGTGTTCCACAACTTCTAACAGTGCCGTATAGCGTTGCGTAGGTGACTATGTCAAGATCTTCTATACCATTTTTTTAAATATTTGTGCAATACTGTAATTACTTTCGTAAACATGTGACTTTTCAACTTTTTTGAGTTTGAGCTAATTGTAGCAGGCAAAATTAATTAACGTATATTGAGCAGCATATTTAGCACTATTTAATTTATGTTAAACCCTATGATATTGATAGTTCTTCGAAATTCCGTGAACGTGTACAGTGAGTTATAAATCCAAAACGCACCTTCAAATGTATTAGGCGCAGAATCGGAAGGTTGTTGAATAAAGTTCAGCACTATGCTAGCATTTTAATGATAAATATAAATAATTAATCGATAAAATTGTTTCCGAATACACATCAGATTTCCAAGTTGAAACTGACGACTTATGTAGGCGTTCCAATAACATTGGCTAAGAAACTGATGACACATACGAATCTTTCCAGAAGAATCTCATAGTGCAATGCTACATGATAAGAACCCCACACCCATGATTAAATGGGATTTCAGATATTTTAGCTGTTTTACTTTTCACGGATACAATCGTTAATTTAATTTAACTTAATTCTAAATGATACGAACCTAATCAGAAGAGATTGTAACACTGTTTAGAAATGATTTCACGCCGTCTTCCTTATATTAATTTCATTAAGGACATAAGCTTAGTTTAGGCGCAAAATATGTAACATAATATAAGTAGCTTATACAGTTTTTTAGCGGACAAAATATCGAAATGTATCGATATGCTCTATAAATTGATGTTATGGGCAAATACATCAATGTCATATTCGGTATAACTAATAGATAAACCGATACAACTAAAAGATAAACCGATACAACTAAAAGATAAACCGATACAACTGAAAGATAAGGAAACGGAAGTAAATGCAACTAAAATATAAGGATCAACGGAGGTAAATCGGAAAAACGGAAGTAGAGCGACGCGCCACCATACAACAATGGCGCTTTTTGGGCAACGCATTTGGCTTCCTAAAACAGAAAACGTTAACGTTTTCGTGAATTGGTTGATTTAGTAAGAAATACTGAACAAAGTCGCACTCATTGCGACTAGCCTGACTTTTATCGCCGTAGATTAAAAAGACTTAGTGTGTGAACGCACGTCAAGTGTTTTAACAACAAAAATCACCAACTAATACCCAACGGAGCAGTTTTTAATGAACAATCTATATCTGACCTCATTATAAAGTTACGTTTTGAACAATTCAACGTCAGTTTTTGCTGATTTCTAACGCCTCCTTCTTCAGTATTTAGTCCTTGAATTTGCTGATACATGGCCTTGGAATGTCCTTGAAAAGTCCTTGAATTTGACTCTTCCTGAATCTCACTCTTCCTTCGTGTAGTAAATGCTCAAGAAAAGTTATATACTATGCACCTATCTAAATAGTTTGCGACATGAACTCGACGTCATTGTTGAAAATTAAGAACGTACCTCAGAACGCTTTTCACCGCGGAAGAGTCTTACGACCGTGCGGTTTGTATCTGCGAAGAACGCTGTAAATTGATCAGGGCGTGAAGATTAACTGAACAAAATCCTGAACATTTAATTGGTATTATGCTCTGTCTACCTGTCGCTCTTCAGCCCAGCCTAGACCTAGGCCTTCTATTTTTATTGTTTTTTAATTAATATTCCGCGCTTTTTCACATGAGCAGGCTGGGACTAGGCGATTTGGGGGCGAAGCGGAGGAAGGATGCAAGCGGAAAAATAGAAGGCCTAGCTGATTTCCCAATACGAGTGGCAAAAACTGCCCCGATTTTGCTCCGGCCATTTGGATATGCCCACGAATTCTTGCGTTCTCCAAAATAAACAATTTTGCAACTTAACAGCGAATTTAAACCGATACAGGTAAAATAAACTCTTTTAGTATAATTATTGGTATACACGTCTAGAAATTCGGGGTTTTTATCATAAATCTTGAAGCAACACTAGTGTTGTTTGTGCCGCGCATTTACCGTGTAGCGAAAGCACAAAATGAGTCGCCAGAAGTAGAATTTTTCATGAAATTTTGTCTTATACGCAACTACATTAATATATATTCCCCCAATTTTGGCAAAAAGCAGCCCTGTGAAACACAAACGCATATGTGTTTGTAAAAGATACAAACATGTACTAGCGGATATGTATATATTATTGGCCCGTACAGCTAGTGTATACAACGTACATTGTTTACATAATTTAATTGGTATAACCATAATATTTGAACGGTAATGTCAAAATCATCATTCTAGGTCGTCCCATGTTGCACATTTCGTTCAAGTTCGTTGCACATCTCGGGAGGCTAAGATATTTTTTCATAGTTTAGTGTCTTTAGGTCTCCTGTGTTTAAGAAATGCGAAGCTCCCATTGGTAATTGTGCACAATAAATAGAAAATAACATGAAACTTGTGCCATTTTCTGTCTCCGTGACTGGCCGCCATTTTGAATTTCTGAACATTCTTCATGTTATCACCTAGGCAACACCACTGAGCTGTATAATAACTGGAGGATCTGCTCCTATGCTTTGTTCAGTCAACGAAGTGTCGCCAAAAAAATGGCGGATTTTGATGAAAAATGACGCGATTTCCATGACTACTGGTCCCTAAATTAATGGTAATTGCCACTGAACAAGGCTCAAATATGAGCCCGCCGCAGTTTTCACCCACCCACCCGGTTTTTATAAAAATATTTCGGCTTTTTGCAGTGAATCGTTGATGTTTTGATATTTTCGACATATGTTTTCGACTGTTGACCATTTGTTCAAAGATGTGGCAGCCGTACACGTTAATTCTCGTCCGTGGAGCGTGAAAGACAACAAACAACTATTAAAACCTCGCGAAATGTGGGCAAAAACGATACTTCAAGAGCAAACATCCGTATTTACCAGACTATATAAACAGGTATTTATAAATATTTCAAAATTCACATTACTATTTTAAATATTTCATGAAAAAATGTTGGGAATAAATGGTAGAATGTACTCTATTTTTTAGAAAATAAGCCACGAGTATTTATAATGTAGTTGTAGACGAACCTTTTAACTTTAAAATATAATAATTTCATCCCTCAATCCCAATGAATTATTAAATGATTGTACATGTATATTAATTTGACAAATATTTGACATGAAACTATGATATGTGCTGGTATAAAGAGGGAAGTAAGGTTTTATAGATTTAGCCAAGGCCGAGTTTTGTCATGCATGAGCTTGTGGCGAACTAATGCACGACAAAGCTCAGCTGATCTTAGAATGCATGTTTTGCCCAAGTTTGTACATTATGTGCTCTCTGATAGTTTGTTGTATGTACGCGTTTAAAAGGCTGTGCATTAACTTGTTTGCCCCATCCCTATGAGTATTGGGTTAGTTGACTCAAGTGCTGGTATATTTCTGGTGTCCCTGAGGTAAGGCTGTTAATGCGACAGCTAGACCAGTAAGCAAGACCTTACTGTGTGGTCATTTTTATATTGGAAATTCCCTTCAAATTGTATGGACAACCTGACTGGCTCAGTTTTCAGATCTCATCAGAACAAGGCAAGCTCTCAGTTACACCAGGAAGATATTTTATGGCTATAAACACTAACTGGACTGACGTGGTGAAAATAAAGTCAAAACATCATTGGTCATGAAAATATTGCCAAAACAATAGAATTGTGTCGGCAAAGAAATAAGAAATTATTCTGCCAACCAGGCCAGCCTGGCTTCCACATTGATAGCCCCCTATGGCTATGATCTATTCTTAGCCTCCTCCACAGGTCTCTCTATGGGTTTTTAGTGGTGTAACTTTACTTTTTTGACCACTTGCCCTCGGGTCAAGTTGGACATGAAAATTAGTTGCCCTGAATAAAATTTAGCTACTGGGGTACCGAGGTAGGAGATTAAATTTAGGGGACAACATGTCGACCCATTTTATATGGCTATATGATATACTGCCTCAAATCTAAAAGTTTAGCCCACAAAAACAAAATTTGAATCAAGTACTTGCACTTTAAAAAAATTATCCGACAATGAAAACATAAACTTAAAGATGCCCAGCTTTTTGTGGCAAGGCAACTTGCTCAATCGGGCAAGCAAGATAGAACGTTTACTGGACCATCATGATATTCACTTTCCCCGGGCAAGAGTTAAGTTACACCTCTGTTTTTGCCCTGCAAATGGGTTCCCACCACCCGATTCCTCGGGTGAGATGCTTGCTGTGGAGACCAGAGTTCATGCCACTGTTGTTAGTGAAACTCCATACCAAGAAACATGTATTGTAATGTTTCAAAATTAATTAAAGACAAAAAAATGTGCTTGATTTTGTATATTATTTATTTTAATTAATAAACTTGCTAATTTGATAATTATTATTCTTTGACCATGCAGTGAATAATTTTAAAACTTAACTGTACAATCAAGTTACATTTAATACAGTACTATTAAAACTAGAGCTCATGGGTTATTTTTTGGCTGTTTGTAGTACATAATTATAACACATTCCCACAAAATTATAGAGAAAAGTCACTGCTAGTTCTGCCAGTTACGTCTGGCAAGACCTAGTACACAACTACTCTTGCTATTTCAACATTCGAAATAACTTGTATTATTAAATCCTTGTCCACATGACTTACATCAGATTCGCCCTAAATGAGAAATGTCCATTTTACATATAGAATAATGACAGTACCATATGAAGATACTGAAGATGTATTCAGATCGCAGACTCCGATTACACGGAAATTTACTGTAGAGCAGAGCCCAAACTGTTCAGTTAGACATTATTGATATGTTAATCCATTGGGCATCAGTGGCTCTCCAGTTCACAAGTAAAATTGTCTGGTGTTAGACAGAGTAAAATAATAAAGTAGGGTGCATTAGGGCACAATGCAACCTACAGTAATGGTTAATTAATATGCTTTGTCAAACAAATTGACTCGCTCAGAAATTTTTCACATATGTTCTGGCATTTATAAGCCCGTCTAATATGGCAGGCAATTTTACTTGTCAAGGGGACAATTGTCCATTATAAATGGATTAATTGTATTTCTTAACTATACCAAAGTTTCATTTTACATTACAATATATCAAAAATTATCTATACAAATCTAAGAGAGAAAGTTCATAAATAATGTCTAACTGAACAGTTGGGCTCTACTCCAATACTGGGAACACCCCAACTGAAGATGCTCTCAAACATGTTATCAATCTTCAATTTGATTGGTTAATTAATTGTTGGGCAGTGAATATGCAACGGCTGGCACGTACACACCCTTCATTCATACAAATACCTAACTACAACTCTAATGGCTGTGCGATTTGTGAAACTCTGACAAACTATGTTGGGCAGATTTTAACCATGTAAACCTCCGAATGCTTGTATTCATTCATTAGCATTTTTGATGGGCTGAGCTGTTGAAATCCCTTTGCTGCATTAAAAAATACCTGTCCAAAAAATACGTCCATGGGCTAACACAGGGGAGGGTGTATATTTGGGGTCTGTTATTGGGGCTTATATATTCAGAGGTTTATGGTTATTGGTTTGAACTTGATATCTTTGGCCTAGCAAAGCAATTTTTTACTTGCCTGTTGTAGAAGTGACATTTAATATAACTACACAGTATTAAATTATAAATAATATAACTAGGCTGTAGTATAGTACTATTAAAATCAATATAAGTGAGGGCAGTTAAAAAAAAGAAAGGATTTTGACAGCATAACTCATAAGCAGCCTTTAAAATCATAAGATAACACAGAGGCTAGTGGTAAATCATCAGAACAATAAAATTTACAGAATTCCCAACCATTTTCCTATGGGGATTTGTGTTTCTATCAAGTTTTAATATAAAGTAAGCTAGAATCTAGAAATATTCAAGATCATTCAAATATAAAAATCTTACCGGTGAATAAAATATTCTTCTAGTACTTGTTTGGAGAATTCTCATACATACGAGTGGCGCAATTAAAAATGCAGTATCCGTTGTAAATCAAGCAAACTGAAAAAAAATATCAAGATTTTCAGTGAGATTTTTACCTCGAAAACAAACTTTTTAGGCTCAAACCAGGGGGGTTAAGTACATTGTCGAAACCTTAGGATCGCGGTTGGGACAGTGGTAGTTGCCATGAATCGAGGGACTAGTGGTCATGGCAATGGCGTCAGATCCGCCATGTTTTTGGCGACACTTTTTGATGCCGAGCAGGTCCTCCAGTAATCATGTCTTGCCACCTCTGTGCATAATTTGTGAGAGAGGATCAGTTTTGTTTGTCATGGTAAGTCTGAAAATTAGAACTTAATAGCTTCTTGGGGGGAAGGCTTAATAGAGAGGTTACGGTTATGCAAATAGTTTTTTTCTTAATTTAAATAGCAAAAAACCTCTAATCTCTAATTCCCATACTTTAGAATTTATCTTAGCAATCTGGAAAAAGAAAAATAACGCCGCTTGTGGTCTGTGAGAACGTTGATGCAGGTCTGTTACAAGAAGCAGCAAGAAAGAAGAAAGGTGACAGGATTTTGCTTCAAATAGTGGATAAGGACTGTGTGGCTTTTGAGGTTAGATACCATAGGAAATGCTACACAAATTACACTAACTTTTTGCGTAAACGGGACAAAAAAAGAAATGACAATGCTAAGCCTCTTTATAATCCAGGATATGATCCTGAGCAGTTTTGTAAAGAAGTTGTCGAGGAGCTTATCAAGCAAAGAGAGGTAGCATTTATGTCACACCTTTATACAAAGTTTATCAACATAGTACAAAGAGTTGAGGGATTAGATGCAGGAAGCTTCTAATTCAATTCAGATTGAAAGAAAGACTTCTTCATTCTTATCCACAACTTGTATTTATTACACTAAAGAGGCGAAATGTTAGTGAAATTGTCTTCCCAGAGAATTTGTGTCCGATCGATTTGGAGGAATATGATCCTAATTTGTACCCCAGCAGTGAGAGTACGTGATTACGATGATAATAACACGGATGAATCGAATGACATGAAAGCAAATGAATACGTTGCTAATGACGCAAGTCTTGTTTTATGCTTCCATGTTACTAAAGGGAAAGATAGGCAGTATACAAGGACTTGGGGTTCCATGGCCTCCTGTGGCTGCGAACATCAGTATTGAAAATGTTCAGGAAATTGTTGCACCAAGTTTATATAATTTCTTCACTTGAACTCTTGGATATTCTGATGAAGTGCAGATTCTTATGTAGCTGTTACTGACAAAAAGAAATCAAGAATATTTTCACTGGTACAGGACATGATCTGTATTTCATCTAATGGAAATAATTTTACGCCTAAGTCTTTGTCATTAACAATGGCCATGAGGCAGTTAACCGGATCATCAAAAGTCGTTAACCTGTTAAATCAGTTCGGTCATTGTATGACCAACAACTTCGCACTATCCCATGCATGAAACAGGGTTAGCCGAATTAAGCATATAATAAAGGGGTTGTTCCAGCTGGTGTCAGAAAAAAAACCCCAGAATATTGCAATAGCTTGGGACAATGACGATTTTTTAGAAGACACAAAAACAGGAAAGGAAACAACTCATGTAGCAGGGGCTATCATAATACAAAGAGAACATGGAGAAATCGAAAGTCAGACTACATCAAGAGAAAACATCCCCAAAGCATCATCCCTATATCATGTTCCAGATCAAATTGCTCCTTATACTCTGGGGAAAAAAGTGACAGTTGATCTCCGCAACGCTCTTGAAGACATTGATCTTAGTGAGAAAGCTCATGAACAGCCACAAAGTTATGGAAATAAGCTTGAGTTTTCATTTATCGTGAATCGCATGATGCAAACTGACACTCATTTACCTAACTGCATTGGAAAAGTTACAACACATTACTGTGAACTACTAAAAAATTAACACCATTCTACAGAGAGTCAAGAAGATTGTTGATGAATCGAGTTTACAGTACATATGCTTTGTCATTGATGAAGCAATTTATTGAAAGATTCAGCAAATGAGGTGGCAGGATGTTACCTATATGGATCGTTTTATCGTGCGTATGGGCGTTAAATGTAAGTTTAGCAATTTTTATGTACATTTAAATTGGGTTCATATTCTTTGACTTGAGCAAATATTTTTCTGATCGACATTCATTATATTTGCTTTTAAAATCACTTATGTTTCTGTTTTAGGGACTGGTGATAAAGTAAAAGGGGGGGATGGGCTGGGAATATAGGGGGGTCACTATTTTGAGCACGGTTGAAGGGGTGGCTCATCGAAATTTAAGTGCAATCATAAATGTGGGCTATGTAAAAATATGCAGAAAATTCATATAAATAAAACGTATAAGAATCCATGTGTAAAAATTATATCGCAATTAATCCATAAGAAATACGCATCTCTAGTTAATATTGATGTCGGGACTCTACTGCAAATCGCCCAGCAAAAAACCGCCAAAACCATGAGAAAAATATTTTTAAAAAAAATTTATTTCCGACCTACCGACCCTAATTTTTTCACGATATGAAACCAGAACCACAGGTATTTTTTTACGCCTTATGGGAAAGATACTGCATAATGCAGTAAGCATGGGAAGTTTCATGCAAAGAAAGACTTTTCTGAATTTAATTTAGGGCCTATTTTAACATATATACTGGGGAGAAAATGTCCCCCACGGCCCTCTTACTGGTCCCTCCAGTCGGCAATTTTGTCCCCCCCCCCCAGTGAGGTCCCTAACAAATACCTGCAGCAGGTGGTCAACCAGCAGTTATGTATCAAAGTGAGAAAACGATATTAATTAAGTTGTTAACTTTTCTGAATTTGACCATCATCTGCAGGCCCGTACTACTATCAGAGTCAACCGAGTCAGTTGACTCAGTAGGCCAGAATTTGGGGACTGACATTTAAACATTGCCAGAATCCTAAACCATGACTGAAATAATATGCCTGTGGAACAAGGCATGAAATGGCATTTTAGGACGAAGTTATAGTTTAGTTTTTCCAAGCAAAGATACTCCAAAGAGACAACCTTATCTTGCTCTTCAGTGACACTGAGAAGACGAATGCGTCGATATTTCAAGTACACCAATACATGTAATACAGTACTGTAGAATTTGAAGTGTTTTGAATGATAATACTATACCATGCACATTTTAATTACCGCATCATTACACCATGTTGCCATATTGGGACTGCATTACATGTGGGAGACTGTGAAATTGCAGTAATTGTGTCAGGTTATATAAGTATATAACCTGATATAAGGTTAATTTCTTATTAGAAAACTCCTCAAACGCGAGAAATAGCTTATCTGATCTTCAAGAAATCCAAAATATTCTGGGGGTATGCCCCAGACACTTCTAGCTCCCACCTTGGGTGGTTGACTCATTTCTCTCAGAATCCTAGTTACCGCCTGATCAGCTGCCCATGATTAGTTAAACCATGCATATATATGCTGGTAGCTGCAGTGATACACACTTGCCGACTGGAACTTTTCCAGGTACCCAGCTAAATATGTCCTCTCCAGTTACACATCCTTAAAAGAGGCCCTGAATTTTAATCGCACCATTTGAAGAGCTATTGAGTATAATTATTTGTAACACAGTATTATTTGGCAACAGAAATATAGAACACTGGTATCTTTCGTGTTTCTGAAAGGGTGGGTCATACTTTTTCAGCACCATGCAATTTAAGGGTGGGCCACAAATTTTTGTGCAGCTATTAAGGGGTGGGCTACCAAAAGTGCAGACACCAAATATATGATTTTCCCAGCACCCCCCCCCCCTTTTATTTTATGACGGGTTCTTTACATACGCCTGACGGTTTTGACCAGCAGGAAGCTAGTGTAGAATCAAAGAACTTCATGGTAGCTAAGCAAAATGGTTTGAAATAAATCATGGTCAAATGACTCAAATCCCCTTCCCTAGCATAGGGGGAAGTAAAATACCCCACTACCGATCAATTATCTGTAGCAACAAATGCTGGCCTCTTGGAAACATTAATTAGCAATGGCAAATGCCCCAATCATGCTCAGGGTGTTACTTTTCCGATTTGACCGATGCATTATCCCATGATTGAAATTTGGTTTACTGATGAAACATTCTTAATAAAAAATAAAAAACAAACATTTGCAATATAGTGATTAGGCGAAATGTGGCATGAGCCATGTAGGAGATCTTTGTATAGACATGATTACCCAGCCATCTATTAATAATTGTGGGTATTAATAATTGCTTGTTTTTGTTTATTGTGTCAATAGATTTTGCTGCAAATGTTCGTCTAAAATAAGGAGTACTTCCCAGTATTGCTGGAATTGTCAAGCTGATCAGTCGCAGGTTGGTCCTCCTGAATGGAGTGTACAACCGTGCTCCAGTGGAACAAGATGTCCTATATCCAGTTCAACCTCTGATTGACATAAAAAGCTGTCTTTTGAAAGACAAGTCTCTCAAGATAAACCAAAGCTTATCAGCCTTGAAGAGTACATGAAAAGCAAGTCCAAAGAACAAATTTCTGGATATACCTTTCGTCCTAGCAAGAAACGCAAGGTTGGTGATAACGCAAATGAAATGGTTACTATAAATATTGGCCTGATGAAATTTGATGGTGACGATTTAAAGCCTGTCTGGGGTAATCATGTATAGATTGGGACATGTATAAACACAAAAAACGCATAGTTACTAATTTGATTAAAAAATCAAAACAACGCTACTTTCAAGATTCGATTGAAGAAAACAAAGATGACCCTAAAGGAATATGGAAAGCTCTAAAGCAATTAGCAAAAACACAAAAACCATCTATTAAAATAGCAGAGCTGACTGACGATCACGGAAATAAGTACACGGAGCCACAGAAAATATCCGAAATTATGAATAATTTCTTTATTAACATCTTAAAACAAGTGGGAGACAACACGACTCAAGCTGGAGAATTTCTTCATGAACACGTAATTTCGGAGTTTGTATCATCGAAGATCTTAGACGATCAAGCCCAGTTTAGCATTCCTGAAATAACGAGTAAAGATGTCCAAGAAATAATAGATAAACTGTCAAATAATAAAGCTACAGGTTCTGATGGAATAAGTGTGAAACTCCTTAAACTGATTGCACCGGTTTTTTGCGAACCATTAACTAAATTGTTAAATTACTCGATAGCCACCAATACATTTCCATCTGCATGGAAGATGGCTCGTGTTACCCCCCTTTATAAAGATGGAGAACGTGATCAGAGTAATAACTACCGACCAATATCAGTATTATCTGTATTGTCGAAGATTCTTGAAAAGCACGTGGCCAAATCCTTAATGAATTATCTTGTAAACAACAACTTATTATATGAACTACAATCTGCATTTCGAGAAGGTCATTCTACAGAATCAGCGTTGATAAAACTTACTGATCAAATATTGTCAAACATGGATCAAGATAATGTTACTGGCGTTTTGTTTATAGACTTTAAGAAGGCGTTTGACATTGTGGACCATCAAATTATGCTAAAGAAACTTAAACTATACAGAGCTAGTGAGTCTACCCTTCAATGGTTTAAATCGTATCTTACCAACCGATCGCAATTCGTTACAATTGATGGTAAACAATCTCGACCACAATTTGTAACACACGGCGTACCTCAGGGATCTGTATTGGGCCCTATATTGTTCCTTCTGTTTGTCAACGATATTCCCCTTCATGTTTCAAATTCGAACTTAGATATATTTGCAGATGACACAACGTTATCAGCTAGTACACAGTGGACGAATATCCCTTCCATGGTTCAAGATTTGAAAAAAGACCTCGATAGTATATGTAATTGGTCCATTAACAACAAAATGGTCATCAATACGGAAAAGACCAAATCTATGCTTGTTACCGGAAAGCGTTTAAGGAAGAAAATACCAGACGAACATCTTCAAATGGATCTTGCTTTAGGAAGTACGACAGTATCCCAAGTAGAAAGTCAAAAACTCCTTGGTGTTATAGTAGATCAAGATTTAGCATATGAAGATCATATAGACAGTCTATGTAAACAGATCTCAAAACGACTCGGTCTGCTGAAGCACATCAGTCCATATTTAAAAAAACAACAAAGAGAAATTTATTATAATGGGATCATTAAACCAAAGCTTATGTATGGAAGTGCTGTATGGTCATGTTGCAGTAAAGAGAATCTTGACAGAATACTGAAACTACAAAAGAGGGCAGCAAGAATTATTTTAAGCGTGGAAAAGACAACGCCTTCGAAAACTCTCTTTAATGGGTTAAATTGGATTCCTTTCACTGATGAACTATTTATTAGAAGAAGTAGTATAGTTTACAAACGTGTAAAAGACTCATACAACTGTCCTATATATATTAATTCTATGCTGGTGAGAAATTCTGACATCCACAATCGAGAAACACGTTTTTCCAAGATTAACATGATATGCCCCCGATATAATCGAATAACGGAGGGTGGAAAAACATTCGCAGTGAGGGCTATCAAAGACTGGAATACTATTAATGTAAAAATCAGGAATTCTGCAAGCCTATACAGTTTTAAACATAGACTATACAAGGATTTTTTAGATGCTCAAAAACTTTCCTAATTTTAAAGTACTTAAAACAATTAACTTTAATTGTAGTTATTATAATGATTCTTCACTTCATGTATATATATTTTAATATCCTTAGACTTAGAAATACTGTAAGAATGCTACCAGAGGACCACGGAGTTATCAGTATTCGTACTGTCAAGTGTTATCCTCTATAAATAAAGTCTCTAAATCTAAATCTAAACCTATTGTTGTTGCAAAGACATCCAACTATCATACTATCTTAGAGAAAGCTATTGAGAAGCAGAAAGCATTCAACCGAAAGTTCGATACTGACAAGGAACATGTCTTGGTGTACGAGGATGGAAGCCACGCACAACTCATGCCAGGGTGCAAAAGCTTCTTTCAACTTGACAATTACAAAGCAGAAGTTGGGAAAGATGTCAAGAGAATAACCTTATACCTATGTACCACTGAGGACCTAAATAGTTCAGAAGAGGTAACTTACAGCAAATGCGAAAGTCCCAGTTCCCCTGAAGGTGTATTCAATAATGAGGATTTGCCAGATGAGTTGCAAAACCAAATTTGTAGTGATGAGAAAGTAGCACGCGAATTGCAGAACCAACTAGATTCAGAGGCACAGCTGTCTCCTGACGATGTGGTACATGTATCAGAGGAAGAATCACCACTACCTACTTTAGGAGAAACACTACGAAAACCTGAAGATGTTATTGTGAAGTTGCGGAGTGAGGTAGACAATGATAGTATTGACAACTTTTTCCTTGTGATTAGGCGAGGTATCAGCTTGTCAAGGCTGTTTGCTTTGTGGCAACGGCAAGAAAAAAGGACCCTGTAACTAAGGTTGTCCGAATACGTATAATTGGAGAGAATGGCATTGATTCTGGTGCAATAGCTAACAAATTTCTAGAAACATCCATCAGAAACATTGAACAGGTTATGTTCCCTGATGGCTTTCCAGTAGACTCCACACTTCATGTTCAAAATGGAATTACCACACTGCTGGAGAGATTTCTGCAGTATCCTTAGCTCAGGGCGGACCAATACCATGTTTTCTACATCAAGCTGCCTTTGATATCATGGTTAATGGTATAGACATCCACAACATTAAAGACAGTGACCTGTCAGAAAATGAACAAAATCTAATAAAAGAAATTGAATCATCATGTGAAAACAAAAGGGACACTATTATTGAGCATGGATACACTGGGTCAGTTAACCAAGACTACGTCAAAGAAATTGTTGGATCTGTCAAGGTATTTTGATTCTTTTATTTCTAATAATTATTTCTGTTTGGTTACCTATTCCTTATTTGAATACTTAGTATATCGCATTATAATATGCAGATTTGTTTACTCTGCTATTAATCACGTGACTTTCGCTCATTTCAATGAGCAATGTTATGCACACTATTTGCCCCATTTTTATCTCTTCAAAAGACCAACAAAAAGTCAAATCTGAATAGGATCATTTTTTCAATGCATTGAATTTTTAATGGTTTTAATAAATTGACAGGTAACTCAACCATAACGGAAAAAATTTGTTTTTGTTTTTTATCCAGGTAAGCCTCGTGAATTGGAGGGTATTGTACATGGAAGAATTCCTGGGTGGCATGAGAGCGTATGGGTTAGATGAGCTGATCAAGAATCATCCTAAAGCATGCAAGCCACTGTTTGTCGATGGCGATTTCAAAAAGAGCTTAGTGCCTGATGCCAACTATTTGCTTTCTATAATTTATCCTGTCTATTCAGAAGAAGGCTCATCAAGAAAACAAATTGAGGATAAGATGATCGATTTCTTCCAAGACACCCTGCTCTCCTTCGAAGATGCCGTGCTGCTGGATACACCAGTGCCGTGGCATGGATCTCGGATCAATTAGATGAATTGCCAGCTGGTCAATCAGAGGTGAATACAAATTCTGCGGCCCCAGCGGAGAATCTTGAAACTCCAGATTTGTCAGTACCCGGCATCATGCAGTGGCTTACAGGTCAACGACACAAGCCTATCAGAAGAGAAAAGTTTGGAATTTCAGTTTGGAATTTCATTTCGTTTTCTTTGACCACGACTGTATGCAACGAAACCCACAGCATCAAGTCTGCTTCCCAAGGGTCGGAGCCTGTGCGAAGGAAATCACCCTTCCTTCACATCACATGCAAACAAAGGAAGAATTTAAAAAGTTGTTCATACTAGCATATTGTAAGGGTCAAGCATTTGCTAATCCTTGAATTAGGCTATATTCAAGGTATTTGATACAAAGTTGATGTGTTTTGTTGAGGCTTTTGACATATAAACATTTAAATCAAAATCACGCCAGTTGTTTTTATACTGTTGCTGTTGGTGGAATATTTTTAGATTATTTCATAAAAAGAATATGGGAATATCAGTTATTTGTTAGCGAATTATACTAAATTCATAGTAGTGTAATGACATTGCTGTTTACCAAGGCTGACTTGTTCAAGAAAAACAACAGTGTATGTATACACCACACTTTATGCCACCATTGGGCCAGTTGTTCAATGCATGGTTAGCTTAACCCTAGGTTAACCTAAAATTCAGAGCAAACTTCCCAACAGCTTGTTTATAAATTTGGACATATTTGGTCAGAATTACATAGTAGGAGTTTTTCCTCTGAAGTTTTGAAATAAACAAACATGCATAAATACATAAACTAAAGCAGCAGGTTATATTTTAACAGAGTGTTATCGCTAATCTTGCTTTGAACAACTGGGCCCTGTTCCTAAATTTATTGAGTTACGAGTTGTTATTTTACATATTTAACAAAAGAGAATGGTTTACAATAACATTGGATTCATTCGTACAAGCTTTGCAAAGTCAATGCTAGCCAATACCATCTTTTGACAAAAATTAACGTAGATGTATAATGATATTAAACTGAATGTGGGTTTTGTAGCATGCTTTTTTCACATTAAACTTCTAATATTTACAAACCATTGTGTGAAAGTTTATGTCCATCTGACATAATGCCATGATAATGTAAAATGTAGCCAAACAATGTGTATTTTATGGACCATTAATCTGTTAAATGGTGTAACCAGTTCTAGAAATAATGAGGACGTTTTCAAAAAGGTCCAATGCTTCCCTCCATTTCACAAGTTTGGTAAATTGTTGACTATCCATTACGTACTCAATGTAACTGAAATGATCATAGGTGGTTTCAGTTTCGACTATGTGATTTCTTGCATACACCATTTTGTCATCTTGAACTGGCACAATCAAATTTGATTCTCCTCCGTTACTTTCAGGAAGAAAAAATAATACATCTGGTCTGCCATCAACTGTATAATGTCTAGACTTTCTGATTTTATGTGTATTCCAGTGTTCACATGCTTCGATTAAGTCTTCTTGAATAAGGTGAGCAAAAAAAAACCATAAGCAATTTTTTTTCAAACTCATTGGATGTATTTAGCCTGTCGTTATCAACAAGATCCTTGAAAAAATTAATCCACCAAGAAGACCGAGTCTTTCGATACATTGACCAATAACTTTCTATGCGTTGATTCCTTGGAGATCCTACCTACCTGTCAGAATTCTCGTTGTTACAGAAAAACGATTGCATCGCAGCCATTTTACCGTTTTCTGTTCCCAAGTCGGTAACTCGTTCTACAGGGCAACCACTGTCTCGAGGTATTTAACAGTCTTCTGTACTTCAAAAAGTTGCAATTTTTCTACGACACCCCTATTATTTGTCAACTTTTTTGTATGCCCCCACACTATTTGTTCCAGCCATCTCCCCTCATAAAAAATTGAATGGTCCCTAATTAACTGTCACTAATTTGTGATTGTGGCAGCGAGTAAGGTAGTGTCATCAGCGAATAAATCTACTTGGGTGTTGAGGCAAATCGTTGATAAAAACGAGAAACAATAGAGGACCAAGGATAGAACCCTGTGGTACTCCGTCCGTGATTACTTTTGTTGTAGAAGACTGGCGTTTGAAGTTAACATATTGTTTACGGTCTGATAGATAGGATTAAAACCAATCAAACGAGCTCTGATCAAGATGGTATGCTCCAAGTTTATCAAGCAGGATACAGTGATCAACCATATCAAAGGCTTTCTTATCGTCGACTAAGACCATGCCATTGATCAGATTTTTATCCAGGTTGAGTAGAAGAGAGTCAACGATAAATGCAACAGCAGTTTCTGTGCCAAATTCGCTTCGAAAACCGGATTGATTGGAGTATATCAGATTATTTATAGTGAGATAGTAAAACAGACAGTTGTTACATGTCGTTCAATGATCTTTGAAAGCACAGGTAAAATAGAGATAGGTCGATAGTTGTTAAGATCAGAAATTTCGCCAGCCTTAAATAGCATGACTCTAGCTAGCTATTTTCCATCTTGAGGGAAATTGATTACTAGTCAAAGACATATTGATTAAGCTAGATATGATGGTGCCAACTCCTTGATGCCTGCTTGAAGCAGTTTCACACTAATGCCATCAGCTCCAGTTGCTTTACTAGATGGTATCTTCAACACGTAGTTTTCAACAAACTCACATGTGATGGGTGGTAAACTGAACGCAGACTTGTTAGGTGATAACTTCGATTTTACGAACTGTTTCAACTTATTAGATCAAAGTTATTGATAGGAGAGAGAGAGGATTTGATTTTACTGGCGATTGATGTAAAGTGAATATTGAAAGCTTCGGCTATTTCACAACTATTCCTTAACACTTTATTGCATTCACCAATGAGGAATTCTGGCAGGCGCGATGGCTTATTATTACCACCAAGAGATTTAATCAATTTCCAAATGGACTTTACGTTGCCTTTGTTATTTTGAATGGAAGATTTGAAATAATTTCTTTTAGCTTTTTCGATCATGTTTGAAGCTAAATTTCTTGCGATACGGTATTGTTTCCATGGATTGGTTGAATTAGTTTCAGATTTTCTAGCTTTTGAAATCAGGTTATCTCTAATCTTTAACTGAGTAAGGATGTCACCATTAATCCACTGAGGCTGCTTAGACTTGGCAATACGTTTTTGTTTTGTTGGGGCATGTTGGTCGATTGCTTGAAAAAAAATACCTTCCCATGTGACGAGAACTACAGATATATTTAAGATTCTTTAGGTCTCTGTAAGTTATTGAATCATGAGAGTTAGTTGATTTAGACTGCTTGAAATATTTACGAACAGCAAACGTTGGTAGATGATCAGAAAGGGCATAGTTTTCCACTAGTGCTGCGGTGATATGCTGACATTTGTTAGTATAGATGTGATCTTAACAAGTACCACTTGAAGGTCGAGTTACATCATATACCAACTGAGAGAAGTACATGTTCATTAAACTTTTTGACAAGTAGTGTTCTTTGCATGGCCAGAAATGGAGTCCAACATGGCTGCCAAGCATGCGCATTTTGACTGAAAATAAAAATTCAAAATGGCGTCTTCTTATATAATTTGAATGGGAATAATGCAAAATTTGTATTTTTGATAACTTACGGTTGAAAAATCCAAAATGTGCATATCTAAAACTTCACCGATTCTGTCCAACTTTTATCCGTAAAAAAAATGGTACCACCCGAGTTGTCTAAGTATGTTCCCGAGCAATCAATATCTCTGCCTAGTCTCTGCATAGGAAAGTACGTGATTTCGACATATTAGGTATTTTGCAGGTCCAATTTCAACTCGTTCTTTACAGATATCGTCAAATGTGCATATCTGCCCTTACGAAAAATTCCTATAGGAATTCCTTTAAGAATTTCTATAGGAATCTTTTAGGAATTCCTATAGGATATTGTATAGGATTTTCGGACTTTTCCAATAGGAATTCTTACAGGAATTTTGATAGGATTTCCTAAAGGAATTCCTATAGAATCCAAAAAGAATTCTTATAGAATCCTAAAGAATTCCTATAGGAATTCCTTTAGGATACTATAGGAATTCCTTTAGTATTTTATAGGAAATCCTTTAGGATTCTATAGGAATTCGTTTAGGATTCCATAAAAAATCCTTTAGGATTCTACAGTGTGTATCAAAATAATTCGAATCCAAATTTGACAGACTGCTGTTTATAAAATACTAAAGTAAACCATATAATTTTTATATGGCAATAAAGAATAGGCTATTAGGTTTTCGATTATATCGTTCTTATATCAATAAGATCAAAAATGACCAAGAAATCGTGTGTTAAAACTGGTTGCTCGAAATCAAATTTTTCCGCCGATGGGAATTCGAAGTGAGACGTACAAACAAAAGATAATGCAAATTTAATCAATCAACAAACTGTTATGTAGCAAAATTTACATAAATTCATGTTCATTTAAAGAGATTTAAGCTCCCATGCTTTCAACATGTTGAACGAGAAGAAATTCGCGTTAAATTTGCATTTTAGTTTTCAGTGATGATTAGCATTTCAAAGCCTTGTGGGACTAACTTTGAAAGAAAAAATGTCCAATTCCCATCGGCGGAAAATTGTGATTTTTATGGACTTTTTTGTCAAAGCAATATTCCTTCATTTTCCAACTAAATGACGCGTACAGCATGTCATTTGAAAGATAAATAAATGAACTTAACAATG